ATCCGAAAAGCATAAGAGCAAACGGGAAAAACTAGTCTGCCGGCTGATCTAAAACGAGATTACGATGAGGGCTGGTGCGCAATCCTTGAAGCCCTTGATAACAAACGCTCAGGGGATCAGCAGATGGCGGGAACGGAGAATTCTGGGGCGCGAGGATGGACCGAAGGATGCATCACGGTGACGGAGTCGGATCGGGACCGCGCGAGAGTATATATAGGGCTCCAATGGCAGAACATTTTCATTTTAATCCCTGTCGATTTCATATTTCACGCCATAACAATAAAATTTGAAGAATAAATTACGTTATTTTAAACTGTACGAGGACTGATATGTAAATATTTCATACATAATGCCATTTAGTATTGGGCCGACATATCGGCCATCAGGCCCAATTATATTATATGGGCACTAAGGTTGGGCCTCTTGTTGCAGTAGAGAAGATTCGATCAATCTGGGACCTGATCTTGGAAATGAACCGATGGAAGCTGGGAAAGAGGCATCCATCCCGATTCATCAAGGTAACATCGACACAGTTCATGCTTTTCGTCTCTCTCAGTGTAACCTCTCACAGAATTAGCCGTATCCCTCCTCCTTTGATTCACCATGGATTGGGGGGAACTCACATTGCTCCATATGCAACCGAAGGACTAAACTTTGCAGGATATGTTGGTTCTCATGTCGATCAATGTGCGATACGTGAGAAGAATCGGGAATCTGGAACAGTCGAAGGACACGCAATTCACGATTCCTTGTAGGTTTGTGATGAAGTTTCATGCATTTGAATGCGTAAATTTCCACAGCCAAGTATGGATTTTTGCCAACGATGCATAAGCTCGATTCGTAAGACCCAAAAGAAAGGAGGAGGAGATAAGTATGAGGGTGTTCGAGAGGGGAGATCGATTCCTGCTCATCGCATACGTTGCAATGCTTTATAAAAGCTTCACTTTTTCCTTTTCATGGATCATCGAGTGTTAGCAACAAAACCTGAGGCGATTTGCAGATCCCTTCCACTTACCACCAAATTCGGCAGCAAAAAGGAATTTGTGGGCATGCTCGATGTCTCCTTCAGCTGAAACAAGCAATGGTGGTGGCTATAAATGTGTTCTTGAATTATCCAATTCCTTTTGTTTTGTCTCCTTGCTATTATCATCTTTTTGTTTAAAGCCATTCCTCTATATCCAAAGATCATATGATCCAAAGAAGTAGTGCTACGATGGATTTACAGCAAAGTTCTCCTTCGGCTGGGATTCTTGGGATGTCATCAGTTCGACAGAGCCAGCAGCGTCTCAAGTCAAAAGTTGTGCATCTGAAATATTTCTGATTCAAGGATTCAAGTTTGCGAAACCTCATGATCTGTTTGCCTCGTGGCCATTGATAATGTCAGCCGAGTTATGGCCACCATGGATCGCCACTCAGAAAGCAGACCATGGTCGAGCAGTGATCTCAATCATCTGACAGAAAGAAGCCAACAACTCGTATTGGCACGGAGGACACCTACTTCACATAATCCAAAACGTCCGACCCAACACTTGGACGCATGGCAGCGATGAAGCTGAACAAAACCCGAAGCGAAGGAGGAGAAGCTTGACCCTCGTGCTGCTGCAACCCACAAGAAGTTCTCAAGCAAGAGCAGAGGCATAAAAGCCAACCCTCATGGTCGCAGTTGTGCTCGACAGCGACTGTCAAATCCAGCGACCAAAGGACGATCATGGAAGTTGGACCCCCCGTCCTTTCCACTTGGGTGGTCCATGAGAGGAGTGAGGAGGAAATGGCGTATCTTGGAACAAAGAGAAAGGAGATCACTGTTGCGATCTACCCAGACCATACTTGTAGACCAACAGATGGTTCCAAATGTACTTTGGACAGAGATACATGCACTTTTCAAAGCGGAGAGACTCGAGGACGACGACGTCGAGAAAAAGGCCAGGACTGGGAGTAGAAACCCTTCAAGGAGCGAAAGCTGAGCAAGAACTCATGAGGCCTCAGAGATAAGAAAGCAAAAGAGAAGAGTAGATTCTTTGCCCAAAGTACGGCCTCCCCAACAACTCCTTTGACTGTTTGATTTGTTGTCCTTCCATGACTTCGCCGATTCGCTTCATCATATTGTATCATCACCACCTTGAGTAGCCTTTTCATGGATACAATATATTAGATAGAATCTAATAGCATGAAAGAAAGTAAAATACCTGAGCTATGAGAAAAATCAAAGTCGTAAATGATATGGGCCAGTCAAACACCATTTCTCACCAGCTCGGCTTAGTGTTTGATTGATGGAGCATGTCATTGTGCCATGAGACTACCACATTGCAGTCAGTCAGGTTCTTTCAGCTAGTTACAGATGTGTTAATGGAGATTGTGGAATCCCAGCCAAGATTGCAATTGCATGATCGAATAGAAAAGAGCAGCAATGGCTTCTTGAAACGCTGATCGGAAGTCCAACGTGCAGTCGAATCAAGCTTCGGAAGGTGTTCTCTTTAAATGCCATCAGGAGGTCAACGCGAGACTCGCACCGGGTGACGATCGGTGGAAACGTGGGTTGCCTCATCCGATCCATAAGCGCACTTGTTAGTAGGGGAGCCAACCACACTTCGTCCTCGTGTCATCCTTCGTTCATCCACTGCATCTTTTCCTCTGGCCTCCGCTTCCTCCAAACCAAAGCATTACCAACCATTTGTTCTGCCCCTCGTGAAATGAATGAACGAATGAACACACGAAGAAGAAAAAGGAAATGCCAAGTCATCGAACATGAAATCGATCTGATGTGAATGGCAGACAGATGGCTATGTTTTTTCGAGTCCAGTTGGCAAAATGATAGAGGAGGGACGACCGCCACGTCACCGTACACCCGTTTTTTACGGCTTTTGGTTGGATTGTCTTTGAGGATCTGAATTGTCCACATAAGAATACAAGGAGAAGCTTCGCTTCGATACAGTTAGTGCGAGGGATTCCCATTCTACTAAAGGAAGGACATGGACATGGGTGATTAGATAGGCTTCCATGAATGAAAGTGTTTCTATGCTCCCATCGTAGAGTCAGTGTACTGCTGTGCTCCATCACTAAATCGATGTCTTTCTGTGAACTCGAGACTGCCAAAGGAGTTTGAATGGTTGGGAGTCGCAAGCGAATAAAGAGTTCATCCACTCTTCTACAGAAGCCATTCTACAGATATAATAAAATGTGATTACATATTTTCTGAGAAGAAGACTCCATTCGCTGTGTGTTGTTGTACTATCAGAATTACCTGAGTGAGTCATATGCTCGGACATCACCTTGACCAAGGTTTGAATTCAGCAGAAACTAGGAAATCTAGTGAAGTCCTTGCTGGTCTTCTTCTTCTTCTTCTTCTTCTTCTTTGGTGGAACAAGGAAAGTTGGTCGTGCACTTTCTCAGACACATGGCATGGTCAGTCCGAAAGGAATCATTTCCATTTGATTGCCTCACCTGGCTTTCTTCCGACGCTTCTTCCGCAACGAGAATGATGATCAGCATTTTATCCCTTTGCTCACCAGTAAATCCAGCCTTTTGGATGTGTTTCTTCCACCATCAAGAACGAACAAACCTCGTGAGCCATGTCAAGAGGCAGCTTCCATGAGAACAGAATGCTGCATCCAACCAAGTAGCTGGTAGAGTTAAAGAGGTGAGAGTTCCAAAGATAGGCACAGATCCAAGCAATTATTCTTGACCCAAGGCAAGTACGTCACATAACACAAAGACAACAAAGGCCTGCGAGGAATGGACTCCAAACACACCACTAGGCTGAGAGCCGAGATCCAAACCTCAAGACTCCCCCGTTGCCCAAGATCTTGCAGACCTATCTCCTTCTCATCCAATCCCCACTATGGTTGCAAACCACTCAAAAGCCATGCCCAAGCATTTCCAACAAGTCCTATGCTCTTGCAAGCCCCTAGAAAAGCCCCAACTCTTCCTTCCCCATGCCAAAATGGAAACAAGAACGCAAAGATGAGCCCCGATCGTTCCCCGTGCCGCAGACCATTTAGCAACCAACACCTTGAAGACCCACAAGGAAGTGTCAATCGAAAGAAAAGAAATCAAAGAAAAAAAAATGAAAAGCATGTCTCTTCCCCACACCAGTGTTCATGCAACCACACAAAATCACAAACAAAATAAACACAAGAACATTTTGAAAGTTGAAGAACGCAAGATCTCAATCTCCCCACTCCCCCCCATGTATCTTTTCATCAGCTGTTTCCTTTTCTCTTTCTTCTTCCCTTCACTTGCCTCGTGGGAAGAAGCAAAGGGAGAAGAGGTACAGCAAACTGACCGCGGGCAGTTGGTGTGGGGGAGGAAGATTCTAAATGGTGCCTGGGGCCTGGCAGCAGTTCTAGCAGCTATTTTTTATGTTGTTATCTTATTTGTTTCTATTTTGGATTTTATTGCTTTATAACAAAATTTTGCTTGCATTCCCTGTTATGGTATGGTCTTGGATTTTGGAGTAGAAAGCCATGAGAGAGAGAGAGAGAGAGAGAGAGAGGAGATGGGCGGCCTCTGTGAACACTTTATTCTCTTGCAATTGGATACTTTAATCAACTCCTAGGAGCAAGGATTTGAAGAAGAGAGTGCTCCCTCCCTCTCTTTGCCTTCATCCATTCTCGTTCTCCTACTTTCTCTTAGCTGTTTCTGCACTCTTCTTCCTCTCCAAAATCCAATCTTCTCAAATCCCTGTTTCTTCGCTTGCTTCTTTCTTTCTTTCTTTCTTTCTTTGAGTCACCACACCAAAACCCATCTGGGGGAAGAGGAAAAGATCACATTTTTATTTTCTTTTCCTAAACCAAATCTGGCAGTGATCTTGTCTCCTTCTTTCGGGCTTGCTAGATGCTGGAATTAACTCCTAAGTAGATCGGGAGGGAAGTAAGGAATCTGTTTCTTTGTTTTCCATCAAGATTTCTGCTTTGCTAACTGCTTCTCTGGAAGCATCCAATAGAATGGCTTCTTTTTCTTGATTCTGTTCTTCTTTGGGAGGCAACAATATCACTCCAACCAAAAGATTACGCTTACCGCATTTCATTCCTTTTTGATGCCTGAAGAGCTGTCGCCAAGCATTTGTTCAGCTGCATGAGGCCATTCTGAAACAATGAAAGATGGGACTTCAAAGAAAAGCAGGGTTTGTTTCGAAGGGTTTTGAATCAATGTGTTACCTTCTTAGCCACCGAGCTCCATGGATTACTGATTCTTACTCTTTTTCTTCTTCTTTTCCTCCTTTCGTGGGCTTGAGAGCAGCTTTCATGGTCCAAGTCCTTTGTCAGAAGATGGTTCAACATCAAGAGCAAAGCTCAGGACTTGCGTTCGGATGATTTTGGTAGAGGTAGATGTCTGCCTCAGGTCACTCTTTCACTTCTGCTATTGTGTTCTTTGGTTCTGTTCTATTTCTGCTCATTTCATGTTACAAGGACATGAAAAATGTCTCGTTGGGTTCTCTGCTTATTGTCTGATCACTGTCAATTGCTCTCTCCGCATACAGCAAAAGAAAAAGATGGTGTCCAAATTTCCAAGATCATGGGCCTGATTGATGCACACTAATGCATGCAAAACACAGCCTTGCTTTCTTCTTCTTTTTCTTTGATGTGTGTGTTCTTTTCAGGAGGTGGTGAGGAATGGCGGGGCAGCTTCACCGGGACGGAAGCACACTCTGTCAAGAAAAGCAAAATAGGTTAAACAGTACCCTCCACAACCCCCCACCCTCTCAGTCTAGCAGCTTTGTACCACACGAAAACAGTTGCTTTCTTCTCTTCTGTTCCCTTTCACAGCTTGCTCTGAATCGTCCTTCTCGCTTCACATTCTTCCTCCTTGTGTCACTCAAATTTTTTGCTTCATGTCCTCAGAGAGGTTGTCCAGGAAGAACCGAGATCAAGCTCGACGAGGAAAGATCGATCTTGATGCAGCTGAAGTCACAGAAACTCTCCACTACAGGTACCTTAGAACTAGTAACAGAGCAAACGATCTTCGAGTATGAAATGCAACTGTAAACTGCTTACCTCTATTCCCGGGCTAGGATCTTTGCAGCAACATGGAATGTAGGTGGGAAATCCCCACCGAGTAATCTGAACCTTGATGATTGGCTCCACACCTCACCTGCCGCAGACATATATGTCCTGGGGTACGTGCCTCAACCTTGTGCATCTTCCTCGTACTTGAGTAGCTCAAAGGTGGGGATGATCAAAGCACCCTGTGAAGTGAAGTTGTTTCTTTGGGCATCTCAGGTTTCAGGAAATTGTACCTCTCAGTGCGGGAAACGTTCTCGGAACAGAGGATAATGCACCTGCGAAGAAATGGATAGCTCTCATCAGGAAGGCACTGAACAATCTTCCGGGCAATAGCAGCAGCGGCAGCTACCGAACACCTTCCCCTCTTCCCAACCCAGTTGTGGAGCTGGATGATGACTTCGAGGGCGCATCGATGAGGCAAAGGAACTTGTTCCACCGTCGTTCCTTCCAGTCCTTGAGTCGAAGCTTGAGAATCGATGGAGATATTCTGGCTCCACAGCCAAGGCTGGATCGTCGGCACAGTGTCTGTGATCGGGTCATCTTCGCAAACAGGCCGAGTGACTACGACCCCAACTATCGATGGGGCGGGTCATCTGATGACGAGAATATTAGTGGGGATTACTCACCTGGCACAACCGCATACTGCTCGCCGGTGTCGTATGGCTACGGAGCTTCCTCCTCGATAGAGGACAGGGAGAGAGCAGGGCATTCGAGGTAACACCTCGGAGGCCAAGAAAGTTCCATCTGCTATCTGAGAATTCAGAGTTAATTTCATCAAAATAAATATAAGAACTCATATATTAGAACACAAGGAATTGTCTTCTTCATTATAGACATCCGATTCTGATGATCGATCTCAAAAGTTGTACCTGTGTGGCTATTCCAGGTATTGTTTAGTGGCGAGCAAGCAGATGGTGGGAATATTTCTCACCATTTGGGTGAGAGGAGACACGAGAGACAGCATAAGGAACTTGAAGGTCTCTTGCGTTGGTAGAGGATTGATGGGTTATCTTGGGAACAAGGTAAGAGACGATGAGGTTTTATTGGATTTTGTTGTATATTTCTCAAATGTTGAATTAGCTATTCCACAATTTCTTAGTGTTATACATACATATAATAAGCAGAAATGAAAGCAATTCCTGGTCCTCATATGCAAATAAAATACCTGTCTTTGTGTTGGTCATGCATCATGCCAGCTGCAAGTGATCCTTTCATGAAACGCATGAACAGCACATTACTTGGAGGATTCTTAAACCTGTTTCTTCCAGGGTTCGATTTCGATTAGCATGTCTTTGCACCAAACAAGCTTCTGCTTCATCTGCAGCCATTTGAGTTCTGGGCAGAAGGATGGTGATGAGCTGCGGAGGAACTCTGATGTCATGGAGATCCTGAGGAAGACCAGGTTCCCTCCGGTTCAGGGGTTTTGTGATGAGAGATCACCTGAAACCATCCCTGAGCATGAGTAAGCCTGTCTCCTATCCAGTCGGTAAAAGAAATACTCGATTATGTTGCAAAAATGACACATATTTCTTCTGCTCTTGTTCTGATCAGTCGAATCATTTGGCTCGGAGATCTAAATTACCGAATTGCTCTTTCATATCGCTCTGCGAAGGCTCTTGTCGAGATGCGTAACTGGAAAGCACTGTTGGAAAAAGATCAGGTAGCCAGGCAATAATCTCAACAGCATACATGACTTCATGTTTCTATTCGAGCTTCGTCTTTCAGTCTACTCTATCTACATAAAAGGCATTTCAAAGAACATTTCATGTGATCAAGAATCACTTATCTGTATATCTTTTTCTCCAATTGATGCAGCTTCGGATAGAGCAAAGATCAGGCCGAGTCTTCCAGGGTTGGAATGAAGGAAAAATATACTTCCCTCCCACATACAAGTACTCCAACAACTCAGACCGCTACACTGGAGATGACATGAACCTTAAAGAGAAACGTCGAACACCTGCATGGTTACAAATAAGATCTGCCAATTCTCCAAATAATAGCTTGGAATGTATTAACCTTATTATTAACCTGACATGTGAAGCTGATTGCAGTGTCTGAATTCGCAGGTGCGATCGTATCTTATGGTATGGAAGAGGCCTCAACCAGCTCTCTTACGTTCGTGGAGAGTCGAGGTTCTCTGATCATAGACCGGTTTCTAGCATTTTTACAGCAGAAGTCGAGTCGATTAATCATAGCCGAATACAGAACATGAATTGCTCTAGCGCTCAAGTAGACATCGAAGAGCTTTTGCCATTTTCAAGTGGTTATACGGAACTCAGCTTCTTTTAAAGATTGAAACTGTTCATGGATGCTTCACACAAGGTTTTAAACCAATCTCTTCAATCAGAAAAGGTACCTGTAGTTCCACTTCCAAAAATGTCTCCAGTTACTTGAAAATAACTGTAAGCGTTTTGTCTGTTCTCATAGCTCATATTTCTTGATACATAGGAAGACATCTGGGGAGAGAAGGCTGACAGCAAACACGATCACTGAATTAAAAGTCAGTCTGCTATGATCTTCTGGTAAGATTTCTGCAGAAAAATTGGACTGGAAATAAGTCAAAGAGACTAGCACAAGATACATGGTGCTTATTTAAACAAACTCTAGTAATTTTTATTTATACTAAATTCACACAATTTCAAATTATTCATGGATGTTGTTTTCATTTGTTTAAGAAAACAGGCAATTGTCATCATATCTCTATCTAGTAACCGATTGATTCTTGCTTCCATGCATGTGACATATTTGAACTCCCAACTGATTTGATCCAATGTTTTGACATCACAGAATAATGACAAAAGACATCCCATGAAGATTAATCTCAGGCAAACAGTTACTCCTTTTCAATTTACATTTTTTTAATATAGAATCTATATATCTAACCACTTTCTTGTCACCTTGGATACCAACAGGCTAGGCTTGTTCAACCCTATCAATTCATGAGAGATCACAATAATTTGAACAGTCCTTTTTCAAAGGATTAATCAGTAGAAGGGAAGTTACATTCTTCCTATGTTGATCCATAAGAAGAAATGCCAAGTCTAAATGACAAGAGAGTTGCTGATAATTGCTCATCAGTACTGACATGAAAACAGTGGACCATCAAATGCACAGGTTTTTCCCTCTTTTTAGAGCTTTCTTTTTTTTTTTTTACTTTTGTTGGGTGGATATACAGGGGAAATTTTGCAGTTAGAGGTGGGAAAAGGAGGGTTCAAAACATAATAAAGTTTGCAATGCTTATTCCTATTTTGTAAATTGGAAATCTGCATGCTCACTCACTGCACTGGAGATGAGGAAGTGTAGGTAGGATATGACATGTTGCAAGAGATTTGGTCAATGATCTTCACCTGGAAAAGGTTATTCTTTTGATATCCTCTGCAGATTGCTTGGGTACTGTTCCCTCTTTTGTGTTGCAAGAACTATAAAAATCTGTAGGAGTACAGGTACGGTTGGAACACCTGGGGACTTCTTTTAGCAATCTAAGAAAACAGATGAAGATTCTTGAGAGTGTACAACCAAATAGAAAGGACAGGCTATTGACCCTCCCAGTTTCTAGCTGATGGTGTAAAGTGTCAGCTTGATCAGCAGAATGCTTAATGGTTGGACTACTACTTACTTGCTGTGGACGAAAATGGAAGAAAGTTATGCCAATTTAATAGCATAAAGCTGACTGCTAATCAAAATAGAAGGTGGAAGAACATTAAAAGAAAACATAGTAGAACAGAAAGAATAACAAGTCAGACTATATATATATAGAGAGAGAGAGAGAGAGAGAGAAAAGCAGCATGGCTTTCCAAACCGTCACTTAATCTCTGGCACACAATGACATTACTTGGGATCTGAAATGCAGCAAATTGTAGTACCTTTCTTGTTCCAGCAAGTAAGCAATATTTCATGTAATTCCAGTACATGCAAGCTCAAGAAAATCAGAACGCGAAATGTCAAGAACAATCAAAATATGCAAGCTGGTAGTTGGTTAATTGTTCACCCTTGTAATATATGTATTAATCAAACATTGATGCAACAAGTGTTACTAATTCTCCAAAGCATGAGTCTGTTTTAAGATTATCTTGATCGAGTGTGAGATGCTCAGCCTATCATCCTTGAAGCAATATACTGGCACCATTTCATTCAAACTATCATGATTTGGTTTCACATATTAATCCGTATATGTGTCAATGGGAAGCTAGTAAAAGAAAGCATATCCTATATACACGTAACATCAATAGCTTCAGTACTGCTTCCCTAGAAGCAATAGGGGTTTATCACATCAAGTAGTAGTTCAAAGGACTGATAGGGCTATCAAAACAAGTTACTGTATGAATGTGATGATCATTGACTTGGTTAGCTGGATTCTGTGAGCACAGTGCCATGGACTTGTGTGTTGCCCTCCCATCATACAGGTTTGGAAGAATAAAAAAGTGTGTATAGAAAGCATGATATGACAATCATGAGAAGATTGATTGAAAAGACTGAGGATGCAAAAAAAACCCTTTACAGCAAGTAGAACCATGAAGAAAAGAAGGACAATACCTAATAATTAATTTGGATCATGCTCAGGAACCAGGATTAACTGAGATGCTTGACTATAAATCATGTGAAATGGTGACAGATTGGCCTCGAGCAAAACATCTGAATGGTCATGCAGCAGAGTTTTGACCCTATAGAATTTTTCTTTTAATGCGCAAGTCACTGGTACCATCATAGTTGTGACCAGGTTGATGGTCCTCAGCACTCCATTTATTCCAAATCTAGGAGTTTGAGATTCCTAGATTTGTCTCTGAATGGTGTATAAGCCAGTCCCAATAGCAGATAACTATCACATCAATTTCTAATCTTCCTTCTTTTGAGGTTATCCTCCGCAGATGTCCTACTATCCATACTGCAATATTAACAATCAAATTCAGATTAAATAACAATAATAATGAGTTATGTTTTAGACAATTCCATTTGTTTAATCTGCTTAAATCGAGTTTGGGTACTATTGAATAGGTTTGGAATGAGTTCAGATAGTCAGATTCAAACTCAAATTCAGATTTAAATTCAAAATAAATCAACAAAAAAATGTCTTAAACTTTCAACAGTTGCCAATTAAAAGGTGAAAAGAAAACAATTGTTAAAATTTGGAACATCTTTTGGTTGAAGATGCTGGATAATTTTTGTAAGCTCTATTCACTTCAGCTACAAGTGACAATGACAATAGGAAGGATCGCCAAGAATTTCACACCATTTGTTATTAAACTCATATTAACTATCCAAAAATTCAAACCTATAAAAATCCAACTCCAGTCTCATTTTTCTACCCATACACATGAAAAACCCCATAACTGAGATGTTTCCAAAGACATCTTTCCACTCGCTTTCAAACCCGACAAACACTACCAGTATATTCAAACATGTTTCAAACCTAATTTGCGTATATATATACTTTTTATAGGCATCCAAATCCAACTTAACTGGATCGAATAAATACAAAGAATCCCCACTAGAACCTCGACATGCGCACAAGTAACTCAGTCAACCCATGCATCTCGCACCAAACATTGAATGAGTCAGGCTTGACTCATGTTTCTAATGCATCCAATTCACATACCTGTGCATCAAGTAGACGACATAACCTGCTAGTTCAGTAAAATCCGTTCTGGGTAAACAAGGGTGATTGACTTGTGCAGTTGCAGAGAAAAGCATGTCTCCTACGTGTAGCTGTAAGATAACAAGTGCTACTCCTGCTGCATGAAAGGAAGCAAGCTTTGGATGTGACACAATGCACACCCCTAGAGTCGCTAAGAGAATTCTTCTAAAAAATAATAAGAAAACAAAAAAACAACAATAATATCTCTTCAGATTAATATTTATCTTCTAATACTATACTGGAAGGGTACATATGTATATAGCCAGAATCCTGTCTGCAGCCAGCAAGGTGATGCAAACGATAAATACACAAGAGGGGAAACAGAAAACGAGTAAGCATAGCGCCTTCTTTTCCTATGCATGGTGTATAAATCTCATTTTTCCTCGGAAGAAAGTCAATGTAAGAAAGCCATTTTTTTCGATGTATTTTGTGGCCAACGACCATGAGACACGACAAAGTGATCGGGCCCGAGGAATCTGGATATTGCGTGTGGAGAAAGGTATCAGGGACAACTCCCCTGAAGACGGGGACAGGGACAAACACAGGAGTAGAGAGCAGTGCACCGGCAAGAACTTAATGGCCGAGTTAAAGGGTGGAGGCCACGCACCCAGCGATAACGTCACATGCTGCTGCGATTACCCAGGTCCACAAGTCACTTGGAGGGAGGAATCCAACAAGTAGAGGAGCAGTACCAGGTCACTCGGAGAAGATGGATGATGCAGAACCAGATTTGGCTCAGCTGGGATTGGCTGCTGGCGTGAAGGGTTTTTGGTGCAAGCAAGCAGGAGGACCATATCACATCAAAAGCAGAAACAGCATCAGAGGCGGAGCGTCCCTGAAAACCATGCATGTTGGATGACAAATATTCACGTTCACGTGTGAGAGGCTGTGGTGGAACAAGCTCAGGGTGCATCTTTCATGAGGGTCAATTCCCAGATCCCAAAGAAGGCAAGTCACACTGGCATTGCTTGTTGACCCCAGGGGATGCAAGTGTGGACCAAGACGGTGGCTGGGACTTGTTGCCTCAGGTGAAATCCAAGGGATTCAAGTTGGATCCCAAAGAAGGCAGGACTTTGTTGGGACCAAGATATTACTCCAAACAAAAGAAAAAGGAAAAGAGACAGTGATTATTCACTATTTTCTTTTTCTTTTTCTTTGCAAAAAAAAATCTTTAAAGAAGCAATTGCTACATGAAAATACCTTTAAAGAAACGAAATGGCACCAGGATTGGAAGAGCAAAGTCACCTCGCATTTGGGATTCGGTCCCTCCGGTTGGTGCAATGTCCAAGTGAAGAAAAAGGGGGATAAATCCGGTGCACAAGGGTCAATGTCTCTGTCCAAGTGATGGCCTTGTAAAAAAAAAAAACGAAGACCATATCTTAGAGATTTGAAAGCTGATATTGTAACATAAGAAACTTCAAGAAACATGGTTCGAGTAAATACCAAAGTTGACCATCTTTTTGTTGACTTTTGCAAAAGTTCTTCCTCGGTATTTCCAACAAGGCGAAGTACCACAGCAGTTATCATCCAGTGGACATTGCAGGGAGGCCTTACCACGACTAATAATCATCATTGCTGGTGCAACAAGTAGGATTAAGTGTTCTAGGCATTTGCATCACACTATAAAGAAAAGACAGTAAGGATAGAGTAATTTAGTAGTAATTGGGCTTGAGGATAATGCAGATAACACCAAAATGATCGAACCAATGTATCTTCTAGCATCTAACTTGATTCACTCAGCTCTCACAACCCTAGTATTTTCCCTTTCTAGAGATGTGCATCTGCTTATTTTTTGGTGAATGAGGTCAGTCCACTGCAATCACTTTCTTATTCATTCATGTCTTTTTTTCTTCCTGATTCTCATTTAGTGTCTAAACTAGCAACAATAATACCAATATATGAGACCACCTCTTAAGCCTCAACTTCCAGCTAATCAACAAAAAACATGTTCTTCATGTTGCCAGGCATCATGATTCCTGAAGATATGGTCATACAAGTACTGAAAGCATTCGAGGTTACAGGAGAATCAGTAATAAAACCAAAATTTCTGTTTGGTTCGTACATCATAAAACCAAAAACCCATCTGGAAAAGTAAAACACACCTTAAGATAAAGTTCTTCAAATTTGTAATATTAGGCTTGCATATGAAAGGCCTGTACATGGTACAGAACAGTATACAAAAGATTGTGATGGATACCTTGGGCAGGGTTGACACTTGATAATTTTGGCTAATAAGGTCTTAATTGTGGTTAGAACTTTGGATGAGCTGAGTGAGACAAGAGTGATCAATGTGCAGAAACTTGACATTGCATCTCGCTGACATGCTAAAAGGTGAGCACACACTTAAAATGACCAATATGTGCACAAAGTACCTACAACAAAAAAAGTGATGGCACCGACCTCTCTAGTTATACATCCAATAATGATCGGCTAAAGTAGTTTAAAAACAAGAGAAACAATTGATTCCTGGATGTTAGTTTTGCTTCTAATAAAAACTTAGTGCATCCATGGCAAGTATACAAGAAATGCAAGTGGTATTTAGGTTAAACATGACTTGGGAGGAGAAAAAGATTCTATATTGTCTGCACTGGAAAAATTGTATTCTGAACAGGGTTTCACCTGATAAATACCTGAAATTTAGAAACTCCAATACTCCTCTTTGCCTGGCTGTTGCAGATGTAAGATTGAAGTCCCTGTCAAAATAATAAACAACCCCACCTAAATCACAGCATGTAATGTCTTTCGATTGGCCAAAGAGGTTTGCTAAAGAAAAACCTGATAAACTTGGCAGAAAATAAGGAAGCAAACAGGTTAAACATCTGAACTTGTCAACTAATGCCACGATAACTGATGTGCCTAAACACTATGAGAACCATTGTATGAAGCAGCATGACAAATGGGGTCTAGTAACAAATGTGCAGAAATTTATGTGTCCAGAAACAAACCTTTGTTAATCTGGACCAGAAAATGATAAGGGGAGTTTCAGTGCTTTGCTGGATGAGGCCATAGCTATGAATATTAAAGAAACTGCACAAGAACAGAATCAGTATACTAAACAGACACTGATCGAGTGGAAACCATTCACGGTGAATTAGTATGCTTAACAAACACCGATCTGTAATTTTTGTCTAGATGAATATGAAATAACCAAATGCCTGTAATTTTTGTCTAATGATCTTTCAGCCAACATCATCATATTGCTAAGCATCTATCTTTCTGAAATAACAATTCTCATATTTCATGAACATATAATCGCATCGCTCGACCACGAATGTACAGGAAGAACATAAGGTCCGTGCCCCATTTTACTGACACGAACAGACCACGAGTGTTCCATCACAAAATCAACCTTGCACATGCAAATCGGTCTAGCAATCGAACAAAGCAATCCAAAAAAGAAATTGAATCCTGACACAGACCCACTAAATGAAGCGATAAGCAAGAAGATGGTATAGCTAAAAACTACAATCGCTACATTGGCATTCAATATCGACAACATGAATCACAATGAGTAGATGTCCTTTTCCTTTTTCAAGCAAATAAAAGATCATTTTCCACTCATAACAAGCAAAAACAAACTCTTACCCTTGATTATTAAGGTGGAAACCAAGTGCGGCAGTCCGGCATCGTACGAGACTGAGCCCATCGGGAGCGGAAGATCGGAGGAGGAGGAGGAGAGGACTGATGAATTCTAACTCGGAGGTGGGCAGAAGATTGCGATGGCAACAGGGTTGGAATGCATCTGAATCAGGGGAGGAAATGGAAACGAGGGTTCGAGTCCGGTCTAACGCGGCATGCTCAGATTTCGTGGGCGCGATGAAATTGAACCCAATAAAGGATCGGTAGAGAGGGAAAACATTTGAATATAATATCTTTTGTTTACGTCCACGCTAATAAAATAACGATTATATTTATATTACTTATTTGATTGCATTTTTTTAATAAGGATAAACATTCAAGGGGAAATTTGATCCCAACACACATTTAATTTGGTGGAGAAAGTTTGTATATTATTATTACATCAATATCATAAGTTAAAATTTAGTTTGGTATATCATCATCTTATTAGTAGCACCAATGTATTAAGTTAAAATTCAATAAATGAGATTTTAAGCAAGTAACCTTTACTGACTAGGAATGATATGTTTTAAATATTATATAATTATTCTAATATAGATAAGATTTCCAACTCTCAACAATAGTAAATAGATTTTGTACAAGTTAAAAATTATCAAGTGATATTTGGAGTCGTTAGCCTTCAGCAAATAGGTTTGGCAGTCATAAATAAATTGGTATTTTAATTATATATATATATATATATATTCAAATTATTGGATGAGATCTTAAATCATTAATTCTTGATAAGTGAATCTATTACATCATTATCATGTTAATGCGCTATGTTTTAATTGAAGACTCAAGCCTTTAGCATTTAGTAAGTAAATCGAATGGATCATATATATATATACTACAAGACTTGATTGTGCTGATAGTATCATAAGAAATTGAGTGGGCATTTCATCCACAAGACAGCATGCACCCTCAATGATTGCTCACCTAGAGAATGCCAAATGTTGATTCTTAATATCGATCACATACAAAATGGGGGCCACGGCCTTGGCCTCCAACTCATCTCTGGGTAGATGTGATAATATCTTATGATGGACTTATGTATGTAGGCAATTAAACAAGCAACCTAAACCCCAAAATATTATATAAGAACCATGTGGTGCTTAATTGATTGGTCGAAGAGAAAGCTGTGGCCTATGATGATTTTGAAGCGCTCTTTGCCCCCAAAATTTATTGGCTATGACTTGATGGATGTTCCAATATTATTGTCATATATGGAAAACAATCTAATTTTAAAATTAATTATATATATATATTTTTTTAAAATTAATTATTTTTAATATTTCAATCTTTATATAAATGATAAATTAATATTTTTCTCACATAATAATATTTTTTTCACACGATAATAAATCAAAATGAAACAGAATCAGTATCGTAAATCATATTTTCATTAAATATTTTATTTTTATAAATATAAAAAATTTAATACAATTTTTAAAAATATAAAAATTAAAATACTAAAATAATTAATTAAAAAAAGAGTCTATAACTAACCTTCAATTTCATGAATTTAAAATTTATGCCTTATGATTTATCTATCTATGGATCATGACTTATGATTTAATTAATTTAAAAGCTCTTGGCTTAATGAACTCACAAAGGTTTTCTAAGACTATCATGGAAATCTTATTATCTTCACTTGCTTGAGAACTTGGAAAATGGGAGGAGGCATTGGTGCTTCAAATGTTATGTAGCTGAAAAGTGTTACACTTGATTGCATGCAATAGATATCAAAAGGAGTTTTACAACTGAACTGATGCTAATAAGAAATGACATATTACTTTCATCACATAATCAACACTAGTTTTTCTATTGGGTGGGACAATTAGTGTCCTCAACAGCACAACATTACAACTAACAAAGACAAACATCACTGCTTACAGACAGCAATGAAATACATGCTGGCAACGACACAAGCTATATTACCTAGTGTAAAACCCCAACACCATATGATATGCTTGCTTCACCATTTATTATCTTGCTGAAGTAACATGTCTACTCAGGTTTCTATTCTTCAGTCACCTATTATAGCAGAAACAAAGATAACAGTTAGAAGATGCACAAAGAATTGAATACAAAGAAGATGAACTGCAATATGGTACCTTGCGGTGGTCACAAGTTCAGCTGCCTCATGCACATGATCTAGGCGCCACGTTGATGACATGCTTTCACAAACCAGAGTTACCAAAGACCAACATGGTTGACGATCTAAAACAGAAGCTAAATAACTAAATCTACACTGAGACACTTTTCCCTTCTAAGTCTGAGGAGACAAACTAATATAACTATAAATAAGAGAAGCAGATACAAAGACAACTGACATCTGTAATTGTATGCAGTAGAGAAGGCAAGACTATGGAAATCATGGTTCCATCCCGTCCAGCTTCTTCATCCAAAAAAAACCTGAAGAAGTGGAAGGAGAACTCTGACACCACTGCCTTCGAAGTTAGCTGAAGAGTGATAGCAAATAGGGGAAAGAAGGGGGCGGGAGCAAGAAAAAAACTAAAATTAACATAAAAGAGAGGCCCACTAGCAGAAAGCAAGTTCTGCTAGAACAATGGCGATAGATCCTAAAGGCACTCCTACAAGTTTGATAACATGATAAAAGCACTTTACTAAACCTACAGGATATACATAAAATCTAAAGGAAGACCGGCCCAAATACAAGCTACTGAGACACAATATTGAGTGATACTTCAACATCCTAATTGCCAGAGAGAAGTGAAGATTACGGGTAACACTAGCTGTAAGTTGATGTCTTTGCTAGCTCACTCGCTCCATCTTCCAGCAACTCCTTCTTAACCATCATATTCCTTAACTACACTCTAGATTAAGTGAATTATCCAATATTCTTCATCCCGAACTTCCACAGAATTCCCTACTTTGTATCAAATTCAACCACCAACAGCCCAGCAATGTGACCTAGAGAAACCCAGTTAACATGCAAAGGCATAAGCTAGCCACCAAGTTATTCACGACCACCTGTACAGGTCAAAGCAGCAGACATATATATACAAAACTCAGTCATCAACGATATCCAAGTGGAGAATTCGTCTTAAGGTCTCCGTGGCAGTGGCAGTGGAAGTAGCAGTGGCGTTGTTAAGGAAGTCATTGATGGAAGTAGTGGCCTCTCTGGAGGGAGAAGACGGGGCTGATCTTGATATAGGTTGGAATGTGACCTCAGATTTCGGAACTGGGATTTCAAGGGACATACTGCGCTTCTGTCGAAGGGAAAATTTAGGGATGGGCAACGAACTAGGAGGGGGTGAGTTCGAGTAGGCAGGCCCAGCCCACAGCTCAGAGCATGAAAAGTCATCGGCAAAGGTGGCTTCTTTAGGAGTCGGCACGGGGTTAATAGGGATGGGTTTGGTCCTCCTACTTCTTTTGGGAGGTTCCGAATAATAGACAGGAGATTTGGGTTCCGAATAGCCATTAAAAAAGAAATCTTTCGTGGGAGGCGACGGCAGAATAGCCACACCAGACTGAAAGGTTCGGCAATTGATCCCTTTGAAGCCTCTCGGAGGCGAGGAACCGAAATGATCCGTGATCCGTGGCTTGCTCCTGCTGCAATATTGGCTCCGATGATGACCAACCGCAACTAGTGTCTCCATCTCCAAAAGGCGAAATTTTTGCAACCAAGCTAGTCACCCCGATACGAATCACAGTGAAAACCTATAAAATGAAAAGTAGGTAACGATCATACGTGAAAGGCACTGATCCACAAGGAAAGCAGTCCGTATCGTCCCAAACTATCATCGGATCCTCAGGATCTAACACCATACCTTGTAAGCTCTAGTTTATCAGATCACAACAAAGAAAATGGCACAGTAGAGCCAAGAGATTCTTCTGTCAACGAATTTCCCAATCCACCCGCGGAAGAACCCGTCAAAACCTTTTTTTTTTCACCCTCGCCAGTGGATCCGAACAAACTGGACCCTGAAATGACAGATCGAGCAACAAAAACATCAGATCTCTAGAATAAAAACAAGTAAAGATCCAAATCGCAGACCTAAGCTCACCGATTCATCGAAAGAATAGGGAGACGCCTGATGTCCTCGGGTTCGATCGGTGAAGAACCGAGATCCGAATTTCTCCAGCGGGAACCACCACAGAAGCTACCAAAAACTCCGCGAAAACCACGAGGACGATCGGATAGCGAACGCGACCGACCGAGAGGGAGATGAGATGGGTTCGGGGGAGAAATCTGGCGAAGTGGAGCAGGAGTTTGCAGCCCGTTGGTCGTCTTCCTCGGAGGCGAGCTTGAGACCCGGAACCAACCCTGGATCTGAACCGTGCCTAAGCTGGATTTAAATTCTACGAAGCATCGACGCAGGCATCCGCTCCTGGAAAGGAATGTAGAGATATCAGCATAGATACTTTTAGGCGGACAATTGATCCACCGTTCATTTGTCCCCGTGGACCGTCAGATACCGTGCATGAGACGACGTCGCATACAAGTGAAGACCTTCAAAGAAATGTCCAACGAGTTCGATTAATTTGCAGTCATGCCACTACTGCAGCAACAATTATCGATGTTGAATAAAAGAGGGAAACTAGTGCGACGCCAGTCTTGCGTACCCACACGTCCCTCCGGGAATGAAGCACGGACGACAGAGGCGACGCAACATGGGGCCCGCGTGGGAGAGCGATGGCTAGGTGGGTGAGCAACGACCGTATACTTTCGTAGTGGTGTTCTCCTTTTTATTAAAAATGACACCATCAGGTACAGATATTTCACGGGCAGGGGTTATGGGGTCCATCTCTATTATGGCGGGGACGGGCCCGCTTTTGGTTGGTCCTCGTTGCATGACGACGTCTCCCCAAAACACGGGTACTAAGACACAATAGATGTGCATTATTGAAAGATATTACCGAAGTTCTGATCAACCCAATATAGTTAAGATCATGTACTAAGACACAATAGAGGTACCAACATCGATTTGTTCTAGAGGTCACGATCGATATTGCGAGAGATTTTAACCTAATTTTTTTCGATATCTACCTTACTAATCTGAAATCGGTATACGTGGATGTTAAGCGATCGAAAAATGATTTCTGCTTCTAAAAATAAATCTTTCTATATAATCATAAAAAAATAAAATATTTTATAAAGAAACAATTCTCATTGTCTATCTTATATCGTTGTCCAAGCATAGATAACCTTTATCTTTTTATATTTTTTTCAACCTGGGAGTTATACAAGTGACGATATTCTCTTTATCATTTGTTATACCCTCATCTCCCATTTCGATCAAAAGTACGTTTCAAAAATTCTTTCGAAAAGATCCTGAAATATAGTTGTCAACTTATCTAATACGTGCACCGGGGGAACCGTTGAGATTCCTATTTCAAATCCTTGATATTTTTCAAAAGCAAACATCCACTTGATGAAAAGAACCATAGAGAGATTTGAGCTTTATAATCTGTCAAGGCTGCCTAACTATAAATTGATTACTGTATTAAGCTTATTATAAGACAAGTTTAATATCTCTCTTTCCTTATGGTCAGCCATGGTAGTCACGATCGTTCAAAGGATGGGGAGGAGCCAAAATGCATTGAAGAACTTGTTATTGAATGACGTCTAACAATTCTGCCAATGAATTTTGTCTCTACTCGGAGGAAGTCAATAAGGAGAGCCGAGATAGGCTCTCCCCTCTCCTCTTACCGAAAAACTCCAAGAAAGTCCCTCTTAAGCTTAAGTCTTTCGTGATAGCTGACGAGTCCTTAGTCGACGAGTTACAAGAACTATAGAGACAATTGCATATGCTCCAATTAGAGGAGGAGAAAATAGAGGAGCGAGGGGGTCGGGACACTCAACCTCCGTACCTTGATAGCAAGTGAGGTCGAGCACCCGACCTCCATGACTCGGTGAGGGGGGGTCAGGGCGCCTAACATCCTTGAATCAAGGGAGGGTCAAACTTTCTCAACTTGTGTCTTTCTAGAACTGTCAACCTTCATATACCTAGCAAACGTTGATGAGAGTCGGGGATACCCACCTAACACCGGTGCCTTTTGATGCTAATGGGTGTCGAGGTTGCCTGACCTCCCCATGTCATAAGAAAGTCGATAGGGGTTAGGGTTCTCGACCTTTATGAGTTGTGCAAACACCGACGAGGGTTGGTTTTTCTCGATTCCAATTGAGTGCATTTTGTTATGTACTTCTTACCATTATGAGTTTCTTTTTATGTGGGTTAGATTTTTCTAACTCATGCGTCTTGGGTATATTTTGCCTTGTATTTTTCGTCATGACAAGTTTTTTACATATTTTGCCTTGTGCTTTTTGTCATAATGAACTTTTTCTCACGTGGGTTAGTTTTCTTGACTCATGTGTCTCAGGCATACTTTGCCTTGTGCCTCTCACCATGAATTTTTTTTTTAAACAGATTGGGTTTTCTCCACTTATATGCTTCAAGTACATTTTGCTTTGTGACTCTAGTTATAATGTGTTTCTTCTCGTACGAGTTGGGTTTTCTCAATTCATTCATCTCGGACATATTTTGCCTTGTGTCTCTTACCATGATGGATTTTTGCTCACACGGATCAAGTTTTTTCAATTCATAGTTGCAAATGTCTATCTTACACCCTTATCCACTTGGACAGATTAACGAAGGATAGCCTTTATCTTCTTTTTTTCAACCTGAATATCACGTGGAGACGATATTCTTCAAGTCAATATGTACGGTCCTAATTATATTTAAAAATAATCACAAAAATAATAGGCATGCATCAAAGAAGCCGCCTAATTCAACTCACGATTATTTTTATAAATTCATTATCCTAATCATTCATGTTAAAATTTTATAGAAAAACTATTCCATCCCAATTAAGCCTCATATCTGTCATAAAAAAGAGAACAAAATCAGTAAATATATCATGTCAATCAAAATTCTTAACAAAAAAAAATCTCTAATATTTTCTAAAATATTTATCATTATGGAAGGATGATTATAAAAGATCGGCGCGAATACGATTAACAAGATCAGACCCTTCTCTCTACTACCTAATTCACTTTTAGAATGAACATCAAAAGGATCATTCAGGACTCACGCCGAGTGCTCTAAGCACCGTAGGCAGGGCTAAAGGTTCCTGGTGTAAGTCCTGGTCAACCATTTAAAATCCACCACTGACATCATCCATCAAAGCTCAATATCCACACCTGATTTAATATAATAATTTTTTATTTCAATATTGATTGATGTCCAGAAGATAAAAAGTTACATGAAGTATCGACAAGGATGAGGTTTTATTATATTTTATAATATCAACCTGTCATTTACTCTTACTGATTGGGTGTATATATATTAGACAATCACAAAAAACAAAAGGCAAATAAGTGATAATAAAAAGTTAAAATGTCACATTCCTCCTTTGAAATCAATGTAACGATACTTGCGCTCAAAAAGCTCTCGGAAGAATTCATATCAATCCAGCTCTGAGTTGCCGATATATGGAGTCAAGTCAAAGTTTGACTGAATAAAGAAAAGCCAATCGTTGACCTGCTGGGTCTTCTTATGAAGGTCATCTAAGGTGACTTGCATCTATCTCCAACTTGGATGTAGACTTATGGTGATCCTCCGGCAGGCTGCCACTGAATGCACAATAATTGCAACTTAGACCAACAAAATGATAGTTATATGTCATTCCCATGTTTGATTCTTCTCCTTTAGAGTTACGACAGAGTACAACGAAGTTAATCATATCTTTTAGTTTGCTTGACATGAAGAGTCAAGACCCCCTAGAAAGTCCGATATGAGTGAGCCATGGATATGCTCAACATAAATTCACAACTACACCCCTATTCACCAAGATAACAGAGCAATCTTATCAGAACTCCCCTCTATTAGAACAATATATCATAATTACTTTAGTTCTATAACATCCCAAAGGCAGCTTCGAGGAGAAAAGATCATTAGGAGACTCTAAAGTTTAAGTGAACTAAGCAACACCAGTTGAAATTTATGACATTTTCATGAAAATTGAAGCCCAACATCGAAAAGATTATTTAGTAGGTCAAGAGACATTCATAGATATTAACAAAGGAGACATTCTTAGATCAATCCTGCTTTTGCATAACAATGAACCATGTATAACGCAACAAAAAAAATTCACGTATATGATTTTTTTCAAGTTATTAAAACAAGCGCATACAACGAGATCCGATACTCCTTTGTAGTCATCAGGACTGATCTGATCACCTCTCATGTTTCCACACGTTACCATCTAACGTTCATCATAAATTATACATACAGTGCAATCAAAACTGCGCCCTGGCCAATCACCAAAAGTCTCCACAGGAGCAAACCCCATCTTTGTAGTGGTGGAACCGGGTCCTGTCCCTCAGAACGATCTCTCTCTCAAACACCTTTGATGCCAACTTCATGAAAGTGTGGCAATCGTTGCATACTCTTATATTCTTTGCAATGTGAATCGAAGAGCCTTTCTTCGAGTCGATGAGCCCCAAAGAAAGAGCCAACTTCTCACTGTGCAACAGAATGGCTTCCCTCTTTTCCTCCTCTTGCAAATCAACCAAAACAGTCGCTGTATCCGGAGAATAGCCCACAAGCTCCAATTCCTTTACAACCTCATCCAGCTTCCCATAAATCTCATTAGATCTTGGATGACACTTATCTCTCATCATGAACTCATGCACATGACCATTTAGTTCAATCCAACTAAATCCTGCCTCCTTAATTACTCCCTTATTCTTCATCAAGTTTCTCACCTCTCTCACATCCTCCCACCTGCTAGCCTTTGCATATATGTTGGACAGGAGCACATAAGCACCATCATGATTTGGGTCAAGCTCTAGTAGCCTCCTTGCCACAAGTTCGCCTAGTTTAACATCACCGTGAATCCTGCACGCTCCTAGTAGTGACCCCCACACCACCACATTTGGGGCAAACGGCATTGATTCTATGAACTCGAGTGCTTCTTGAAGAAGTCTAGCACGACCAAGAAGATCCACCATGCAACCATAGTGCTCATGCTTGGGCTCAAGTCTGTAATCTTGGATCATGGACTCAAATATCCTCCGACCCTCATCGACTAAGCCAGCATGGCTACAAGCATATAACAGGCTGATAAAAGTCACTCCATTAGGCTTTACCCCCTCCGATATCATATGATCAAAGACTGCTAACGCAGACCTCCCATTTCCATGCATCGCAAACCCAGTGATCATGCTTGTCCAGGTAATCACATCCTTAAAGGCTGTCTCATCAAAGATTGTGCGTGCATCAACCAAACTTCCACATTTGGAGTACATGTCGATAAGAGCATTCCTTATTGACAAAATTTGATGAAATCCATTCTTGTCCACAAAGATATGAACCCATTTAGCTTGATCTCTTGCACCCATATTAGCGCAAGCAGAGATGACGCTCAACATGGTGATTTGGTCTGGCTTCACACCTAAGAGGTGCATCTCATTGAACAACTTGAGAGCTTCATTCGGCTGATCACTCTCAGCATACCCTGAGATCATCGCACTCCAACAGACAAGGTCCTTGTCAGTCATCTGGTCAAAGATACTTCGTGCAACTGCAATTTTGCCAAGCTTGGCATACCCAAAGACCATTGCAGTCGATGCCACCAGGTTCTTAGGTGACGTATCATCATACAATCTCTGAGCAGTGTCCATCGATCCGCAACTGGAGTACAAGCTAATAAGCGCGCTCTGGAGATGGGCATCAATTGAGAGGTTAGATTCCACAATGTACGAGTGCACTGCCCCACCGGATGTCAAATTTCTAGTCCGTGCACATGCCGAAAGGATGGTAGCGAGGATCACTCGATCGGGGATTACACCAGAGCTCTTCATCTCATCAAACAGCTGCAGGGCTTCATTGTAACATCCACTCTGACAATAGCTGCCGGTCGGTTTCAGAAAGCATATGAGGCAATTCAGTAATTAATTTATCTACAAAGCG